AGGAGAATAAGCTGTGGCACAAGATTATTGCGAGGACTTCGTGAGAGATAATAGATTTGAAGTATCTGGCACCTGTCGCTCTCGATGTGTATTGTGTGTCTTTCTCCTGGATCCTCCTACCTAATTCCACAGGGCATTCATCTGCGCTGCAGCCACCAACCCAGCCTTGGCCTTGTCCAGCCCCCTTGGAAAGCCTGTCTCCCACAGACAATGTGGGAGTTCACAGCGCCTGTTTCTCCAGCCTGTCCCATCCACCTCCCCCTCCACACCCATTCCTGCTCATCCAGCTCCTGGGTCACCCTGGCCCCTCCTCCCACAAGCTTGCCGCTCCATGCCCTGAGCTGTTCCTCTTCACAGAGCCCCAGGAAATGGGCTCAGCCCCATAAGCAGCAGCCACAGTCATTTTTCTGGAAAGGTGCCCATGTTGCCAGCTGTCCCCAGACATGCCCACGCAGACACTGGCACGGAAGGCAGGGAACCAGCCAGGCCCAGAGCTAGGGAACTTCTGGGCATCTGGTGGCTCTGAAATGTCATGAACAAGCTGTTCACACCTGTCCCAATGGAGGGTCTGACAGAAGGAGGAACAGCTGATGGGTGGAAACTCCCTAGTCTTGAATTGTACTGGAGCTGCCTCCACAAAACTGCGGTCACCTGCCTCTTGGCCTCATCTCCAGGAACATTTCCTGGCATGCTGAGCTCCCGCTGGCTGGAGCCACATGCTTCCACCGTGGAGACAAAGACTGCTGCATCCACCAAGTCCCAGGCTAGCTTCTCCTCCCAGTGGGAATGAGTTCTTCTGCCACAGAAACTCACCAGCACCCAGCAAATGCTGTTTAGGTTAGGCACTGGGCTAAGTGTTTTACGTAGTTTCTCACTGAATTTCATCCGAGCCCTGTACTATAGGTGCAGGTTTATTTCCCTTTTATAGTTAAGGAAATGGAGCAGTAAGTGTTAGACATTAAGTGATTTGTCTAAAGCCCAAGGGTCATGTGACCTTTTTCCAAGCCACACTTAGGAACAGTGGGGAAGCTATGGACCTAGAAGTAAAACAAACCTGAGGGGGCTGGAGAGATGGCTCAGTGGGCTAAAGCACCTACTTGAAACAAGCTTGGCAAAGCACAGGGACCGCGGTTCGATCCCCAGCACCACATGCCAGCCAGACGCGCCCCCTGGTGGGCTGAGCTGGCCACACACACACACAATAAATAAATGTAATAAAAATAAATAAATATTTAAAAAATAAAAATAAATAAAAATAAAACTAACCTGAGTTGAAACCCCAGTTCATGTACTAACTCCATGATGCTGGTCACATGGTGTAAGTGCTCTGTGCCTCATCTTACCCATGTGTTCTATGGGGGAACTAACATCTTGAAGTTCTATAAAAATCACAAATTAATGAGCCCTGGCCCAAAACAGTAAGGAAAGTGAATAGAATAATTCCTCACTGCTCAGTATAAGCCTGGCACAGATCTAGTTCCTTTACAGGTAGTACTTCATGAAATCTCAAAACAATCTTCTGAAGTATACTGCTGTGATCCCTGTTTTCACAGAGTCTAGAGCCCAAGGCAAATCTACCCTCCAGCTTGTTACTGTTTTCTCATTTGTTTTCCTTAAGCAGTAAATGTGCAAGACTTCATTTCGAATTTTATTTCAGCCTAGAAGTCTTTATCTTATTCATTTCTACCCCAGCCTATATATGTAGTGCAAGAAAAAATGAACTGGCTTAATATCTACCCATAATGATGTCACCGGTAATAATGAGAGTAAGAGATGCCATTTATCACGTGCTTCCTGTATTCTGGGCAGTTCGCACTGATTATCACCAACACTTTATGTGTTAGACACACTAAAAGAGGCAGCGTTCTTCAACATCAACTCAACTGACCTCTAAAAGCCATGGTGCCTGTGAAACGTCACCCTTTGGTACTCAATGCGCACAGCCGTGCTTTCTAAAACCGCGGCCTTAGGCTGGGGCTGTAGCTCAGCGGTACCGTACTTGCCCAGCACGCATGAGGCTTTCGGTTTGATCCTCAGTTTCACACATGCAGAAGTAATAACAAAAGCAACTCTAGAACTACAACCACTGACTTGTGGGTGCATACCCCCTTTTGAATTCTGCCCATGGTTCCAAGAAGGTAGCATGATGTCTCCACTGTCCCTGCAGGTCTTGGAAGTCAGCACAACAGCGCCCCTGCAGCAGGCCAACGTTCGATAGCTGCGGGGATCCAACCCGCGTCCCAGAGCGAACAAGAAAATCACTAATCAGGCGCTCTCTGCCAGCCAGAGAAGCGTGTTTCTAGACGCTACACATCTACCCTCAAAGCTCCTGCTTTTTCCCGATGGGGAAACTGAGGTGCCGCAAAATTAACTACTCAAAGCATACACTGGTGAAAAGATTTCAACCCAGGTCTGTCTTAAATCTCAGAGGGGTTGAATACAGTAGTCCAATTCATACTTTAGGATATTCAAGCAGCATATGTGGCTGTAGAAAGCGGCGTTATGTGTACAGTACTTCTGCATACAGCATTCTTCTAAAATACCATGTGGGACAGATTGTTGTAATGATTCCGTCTCTACACTCTCAATTTTATCTGAAATGTGAGTTATTTTGAATAAATGATATAACTAATACTCATGAATAGACTTTACTAGAATAATAGTAGCAGAAGTACAAATTTGGTACTGAGTGGTAATGAGATGTGTTTCTGTTTAGGGAGGAAAGAGTAGTTTTTTATTCTAGTAAAGTAAAGTGATTGCTCAGAATAACAGGAAGGATGGTGAAGGGCAAAATCTGAATAGATAAATTCGTAGAGGACAGCATGGAAGGGGAATTTGATTTGCCTTAGATTGTAGATGCAGGCTATGAGTCTGAAAAGAAACAATGAAGAGTTAAAATTTTGCTAAAGTAGACTCAATTTTGATGAGCTGAAGCATCTTATTTTCAGAAAGAGGGCTCCTGAAAAGTTGCAAAGATTTATTCTTTCACCTTTTAAAAAAACAGAAGTGCTAAAGATACTGAGGTTTATTGTCTATGATGTTGTTCAATCACGTGGGAATAAATGTCAGATGAAAGGAAATGTTCAGTTTTCTTAGAAAAATGCTACTATTCATATGAATATTTCAGAAATTTCAGAACATGCTGCATGCAAGCTTGTGCAGTATCTCCACAGCCTTCGTCCAGTGTTTCTATTTATCAGCATCCTACTGGTGCTCTGATGATAGCTACAGTGTCCCAGTCATGATTTCAGGTATGATTTAAAATGTTACCTGGGCCACAAATTGACTTCTGTAATTTGGATCTAGCATCTTCCAAGCTCTTGGTTTTTACCTGCAAATATACATCCAACTTTCCTATTGAGTTTTATTAAAATACATATGTTTAGGGACTTACTCCAAACCTACTGAGTCTCTTTAGTTAATATTCTCATATACTGTAGTAGGTAAATTATGTTTTAGGATTTTTATGTATCTTGAGATTTTTTTCCTCTGTAAAAATTACGTTCATTCATTTCATACATTGATATAATGTTTCTTATCTTCGTTGAAATTAGCCTTATTACATTGTTAGAGACTACCTAGACTTTTTGCTGGTGTTTGCATTGGCTTCTTGTTTTGCATGCTACAGGAGTAAACAAATTTCCTTGCTAGTTCCATTATTCTTATCAGGAGTTCTCACTGGATCATCCACTTCTGGAAATCATCAATAATACATCAACCAGCAGTTTTCAAGCTTCTGTCATCCATAGATAGTTTTTGATCTATGCCTCTTAACAGCTCTGTGACAAACTACAGGTCAAAAGTTTTATCATTAACTGTCCCAGAATAGTACCATACTAAGCATTTACTCTTGGGTACAGGCATTTGGTGGCACCACTAGGACAACTTTAAGAATATATTGGTGGGTTAAGTTAGGAGTTTAGGGCTCTCTGGCAAAGCAATGGATAGTATGTGAGATTGCAGAGCCTAGATGCAGTAGGACAGAATTCATTGCGTAGGACTAAATGAACTGATGGGGAAAGAAGTGACTGTTGTTTAAGTTTGAAATACTGGTACAGTGTTTCGTTTTATGGGTATAAGGAAGACCTTTCTCTTTTCCTGTTGGGTGGTTGCAGCCCATAACAATTTAGTAGAAACAATTCAAAACTCCCAGTATAACTTCTTGCTTTTCATACCAATATGGCTACTTGCAAAGGTACAATAAAATCCTGTCCTCTCCCCAACCCTGAACCAGGGCATAATTAATTAGAAAAAGTGGTTCTGAGATGTAGGCTTGCCTGGAATGTTGTATCTGACAGGGTTGCCCATTTCATTGGATACAACCAGCTCTTCTTAGGGCACTAACGCTCACAGTATGGGCCCAATACCAATGAAACACTCCCCAGAAAAGTGGCTTGTTGGATTCCCAGATTTACAGGTAACAAGTAACACATTTTTGGCTGATTCAAGGACCCCAGGACGTTTTGGGGTTTATAAGAGAGGAATTTACCCAAATTTATAGATACTGCACTTAAAACTTGGTAAAGACTGTTTCTTGGCTTGGCTTCCTAATCTCAGGACAATAACAATAAGCTTTAAAAAACCCAACCTAGGATTTCTTACGCAAACTTCGGGCAGCGCGAAGTTGACGTTCCCTTATGTAGTTAAGGACTACTCCTGCAAATGATGTGATGACATCTCACAAGACCCCTGGCCTTATTCATGCCACCCAGCAAGTCCATCTCTCTCTCTCTCTCTCTCTCTCTCTCTCTCTCTCTCTCTCTCTCTCTCTCTCTCTCTCTCGTCCGTATCTCTAGGTGCTCAGGGTTATGAAAGCAAGGGGCTGTGTGCGTCCCAGCATTTGGAGACAGGGATGGCAGACGGGAAAGGCTGGTGACTCTTAGACAGCCGGCTCTCCACCAGTGTCTGTGAGGTCAGAGAACGCAGAGTTGGGCAGTACCCGAGGCCCGGGGCCCATCCTGCCCGAGCGCGCGCCTGGCCTCCCTCCTGGCCCTGCTCACCAGCTGTCCCTGGAGAAGGTGCGCAGGAACCAGACGCCTGGAGCGAGGGACGACCGCATCTTGCCGGGTCAGCGCCAGAAGCCGAGAAGACTGGGCAGAGTGCGGAGCCGGCGCGGGTTTAAATGCCCCGCCGCCCCGCCGCCCCGCCGCCGAACCCGCCCCGCCGGCTCGGACCCGCCCCACCCTGCACCTGCCCGCCCTCAGGTCAGAACGGGTCGGGGTGCTCACGCTCCACCTTCCCGGCCTCGACAGATTGCCTCAAAGTTTCCGGGGCTCCTCATTAGCTCAGGCATTTTCCTCCCTGTCTGTAGGGGAAGCGAAAACAGCACACACACCCCCATCCCCGCCCCGGACGTTACTGCCTCTTTGTGATGGTCGCACCGCACTGTCCCCACTGTCCTTTCAATCCTGAGGAGTAGGGACCATGCAGACGAGGTGGGGGTGGGAAATTGGGGGGGGGGGACACGAAGACTCGTTGGGGGCTGGCGTGTGCCCTCCAGAGGCCCCACACTTGGCTGAACTCAATGCTGGCACCCTCTTGGAGCCCGAGACATTTTTCAGGGAGGAAAAATATTTGCCCACAAACCCATCTCCCAGGCTTAAGCATTGTAAGTCGTCGCCCTGACCCCAAACAGCATATTGGGGCGGCCAGGGACTCCCCCACCCCAGGCCCTGCTCCCCAGGGACCACCCTTTGGCCAGCTGTGTTTTCCCTCCTGAAGCGGGGCAGCCAGGCGGGCAGCCAGGAGGCAGTGAAGAGCTAGGTACCAGCAGGGACTTGGGTGCTCGTAAAAGTGACTTCCTCTAGCGTGAAGATTTCAGGGTGGCATTCCACTTATAAAAAGAGGTCTGAGATTCTTGAATGTGGGCGGAAGGACAAAGGACAGAGGGGTGGAAAGGAAAGTAACCTTGTTAGTGGAATGTACTATAAGAATGCGTCTGTGCAAATAGATTTCAGCCTTGACCCCACCCTACCCCTCACTCCTAGGAGTGCCCAGGCCTGCGACCAAGGACACTAAACAGGTGAGGACGTAGAATCATGGGCTTGGCTGGCACCAACCCTGGAGTTGAGCTAAAAAAGGGTAATCAGAGTTGTAAAATCTTTAATCTCAGCTGTTGGGGGAATGGGTCTGGAGCCAGAAAAGAGGGCAGCCAGCCAAGGAAGGGGGTAAGAAATAGAGGAAGAAGAGGAGCAATCGGGGGCAGGAGTACCCGGGTATGTAAGGTCGAGTGCTGGAACACAAGGGCAGAGTGTTGCTAACAGAAGCTCACCTGAATGCACATCAGGCCTCTAACTGGAACAAACCCTGTGTCCAGAGGGATATAACCTTAATTCTGAGAAATCAGAGAGGTAGCATCCCAGTGGGTAGTGTGGCTATGTTCCCAGGAGACACTTGTTGTCCCAGAATGGTGATGACCCAACCACCTCTGGGGTGAGTGGCCAATTCTTTGTTTCAAAAGAACTAAGAGGAAACATCAGGTTAGAATACAAATGATCCAGAGAAGCTCCTGGTTACTCGGTGTGACACAGCAGGTTGTCATCACCAGAGGACCGGAAGTGGCCTCTGCAGGCTTTGGGTGGAACTACCCAGGCTTCACTAGTGTGGGGCAGGGGTCTTTCCAGTTCAGATGAAGCAGCCAAGGAAGGCAGCTCACTGCTGCTGGATCACCATGGCCCTCCAGAGGAGCTGCATCCACAGCTCTCAGGACCATGTCTGCCCAGCTCCACAGCTCCAGGAGGCACTAAGAACACTCCCCGGGGCAGTCTGGCTGTTATTCACCATGCTGGCAGCAGGGCCAGTCCTGAAAAGCCTTGCTTTGTCCAGCCCCTCCCTGTGGATTCCAGCCATGTATTCCTTTTCAGGGCCAGGATGGCAGGCAGCTGGCACATACCTGCCCACCCTGGAGCACTTTCTCACTTATGAGGGGCTCTCTGCTTCCCACTTCCTGGGAGACAGACAGGGAGGCACGTCATAGCCCAGGGGTTTTGCTACTAGTAGTGCCTCTCCACTTTGGACTCACCTTATCTTATCTGGCCTCCCTCCACACCATCTTCTCAGACTCTGGAGAATATGGATAGTACCAGAGGAAAATGAGGAGGGAGAGCAAGGGCTACTGGATCAGATACTAAGGGAAGGTCCTCAGGTCTTAACCTCTTCTAGAATTTGTCAGGAATGCTTTTCACCGTGTTTAGAACCAGACATGTGGAGAAGGAAGGCTGGCGGTCAATTGCCTTTTTACCTTCAAATACCAGGCCCTACTGCTAGCAAGTTTCACTGTTCACAACAGGACCTTTCATGTAGCCAGTAGCTGCACAGGCCCTCTTAGGTGCGGCAGCAAGCATCCTCCTTGGTTTCCACAAAGGAACAGAGGCTCAATGCTTGAGAGTCTATGAGGACAAATGCCATGAGGATAAGCTCGTCGACCACAGACCTCAAATGTCCCTCCCTACACACACACACACACACACACACACACACACACACACACAAAGCATCAATCTTTGGGCACATTTTCCTCTTCCCATTTCAGCCTTATAAAAAAGAAAATAGCAGAATTTTTTGTATGTGTGATAGAAAGACCCAGAGCCTTAATTGAAGAGGTAGGATATTATATTAGGAGAAGTTTGGGTCATTCAATATTTTACATTCAAGGGCCGGGGTGATAGCTCAGTAGAATAAGCACTTAACCTGGGAAGTGCAAGGTCCTGAGTTCAATCCCTGGTACTGCAAAAAAAAAAAAAAAAGAAAGAAAAAAGAAAAGAAAAGGAAAGGAAAAAGAATTTCTCTAAATATTTTAGATTCAATTTTATCTAGGGCTTTTTTATTGAGAGGGAGAGTCACACACTGAGATGAACAGAGCCAGTTCTAGCTCTGAGACTGTTACTCTGAACCTCCATTCTCTTGTCTATAAAATGTAGGCAATAGCATCTACTTTGCACAGTAGATGTAAAAAATAAAACTCACGCATACGAAAAAATGAGAAGTGCCTGGTTCTGTTAAGTTGGTTGGGTAAGCGAAGCAATTCTTTTGTGTGCATATAGTATTAAGATCAGACATTAACTACAACTGAGAAAAACCAATGGTCAGAATAAATCACAACAAAATACAGGAGTCAAAGGATCAGAGTCCTTAAAGAGTAATGGGTACAGGAGAATCTGTATAGGGGTCAAGGGATCAGAGTCCTTAACAGTCAATGGGTACAACAGAATAGGTTTGATAAGCAAAATCCTTAATGTCACATCTTTATGTATGCATATACAATTTAATTCACTGATTATTGTAAGCACTCTAATAACACATGATGAATAATTTGGTCTTGATGAGGATGTATGTGTGGGCTGAGTTAAGAATCAGGAAAATGAAAAAAGCCGTTGTCTTAAATGTCAGACACCTTAATTTCACTACGAAGAGTTATTGTTGAATTTCTCCCAGCCAACATAGTCAAAAGATAAGCAAGGTATCCACGTATCCAAAAGGATTTTGTCTCAAGAAAAGCTAAAATTCTGCAATGTTTGGCAAGTAGAGTTCCAACACTGATATAACTAGGTAAAAATAAAGGTTTCAATCTATGGAAGACTGAATTTTTGGTTAAAAATGGCCTGAGGAATGGATGTTAGAGACTTCTCAGGCAATCACCAGGACAGCCCTGTTCTTGGATGTTCAGTCTGCTGAAGACATTATCCTAACCTTAGGAAGGGAGGAAGAGGACAGGGAACAATGTTTCAAATTGTCCTAGTTTCCCAGAGTCACTCCATTTAGCAAAAGTGAAAAGGAATATATGAAAGTGAGGTAGCCACTGGTAGCCTGGTTACACAAGCTGGGAATATCTGGTTGTTCTTGCCCCTAAAAGCAATCCCTCATTCACTTATTCATGTAATAAATATTTGCTGGGTGTCAGCTATGTGCTAAGCACAGTATGAGTGCTGACACACATGGATGGAGGAGACAGGCAGAGTTCCTAACCTCAGAGAACTTACAGTCGGATGGGACCAAGATGTGTAGACAAATTCCATCTCAAAATACTGGGGGGAAAGATGAACACAAGAAGTAGGTGACAGGGGAACGCTCATTGTGCTCTCATGGTACTGAGAAGGGTGCAAGGGGTTGGGGGGACTACCACAAGGCTTAACGGTGGACAGAATAAAAACAAAGCTAGAAGACTAGTTCGGTGCATGCCAAACACAGAAGGAGAAAGTTGGGTCCCACTGAGTACATACGCACAGCATGTGCAAAGCAACATACACACACATGGAAAAGCATGACACTGAAGGAACAGTGACGGGCCATTCTGCTAGCTGGCGAGTACATGCACATGCTAGAGAAATGCAGACAACACGGCTGTTGTGCTGGTGGCCAGATAGCAAAGAGCTGCAAGTGTCCATGACAAGGGTCTGGAATTTTATTCTTTGTACAATAGACTGCTATGACAAGAGTGTCTAAGAAGGGTAGAGACATGATCAGATTTATATTTATATTTGTTTTTGGATTTTTTGAAACAGGGCCTCACTATGTCATCTAGTGTGGCCTTGAACTCACTATGCAGCCCAGACTGGCCAATCTTCCAATCCCAGCACCCAAGCACTAAGATTTCAGGTGTGAGCTAGCATACCAGGAAGGAATTAAGAGAAATGAACATTTGAAAGCCTTTTGCCAGACTTCTATGTCCAGATGAAGATGGAATAGGTAAGTTTCTCCCAGTTCTTCTTGCTAAGTACCACTAAAACCCCTGAAACATTACTTATATAACCAATATAAGCCTGAAAAGTGGAGAAAAGGCAGATTAGCTAGGGATGTTGAGATCTGAGGAAAGACATAGTAGTGAGTGGTCATATATCCTAGCCCGGGTGCTAGAGAAAGCCATAATCCAGAACCACAGCAAACCACACCAAACCAAAGAAAGAAAGGGAGGGGAGAGGAGGGGGGAGGGAAAGGGAGAAGAGGGGAGGGGAGGGGAGAAGAGGACAGGAAGGGGTAAGCACAGAGATGAACTGGCTTTATTTAGCAAGCAGGAGCCTAGCAATTACCACGCCACTACAGCCAAGCCACAAAACACTGTATCCCACCCCACCTCCCATCAGCCCAGGCCAACTGGGAAACCTAGCCAGCTACTGGTCACTGGGTACAATGAGACGCCTCCTCACCCCTCAGCCTTGGGGTGCTGTTAGATAACTCCAAGGGAGAAGTCAGGACTGTCACCTGCTTCTGGCACCACCAAGGTATCACTGGAGGTCACATGAGGAGCAATAAAAAAGTATCTTCTCCTTCTCATATGGGTGACAACAGAGGCCTAGCTAGAACTCCCACC